AATGGTCTTTAATTGCTACATCCCCTACTTTCCATTTATAAATTTCCAGATTACACCAAAAACATCGCACAATATCACTCTCGCCTGTGTAATAGAAACCAGCCAAAGCGAGTTCTGCAGGATCTACATTACCAGTGAATTCTTCAAACGACAATAAACGTTCGTCAAAAGTATTGTATGAATGATAACAATATATACCATTCAAGTCTTCAATACACATTTTATTGTGACTTAGATGCGATTCAATTTAATATTGCTTTTTTACTGATGGTAGTAGCAACTTACGGTATATATATATATATATATATACAGTATGTCTACTTACAATACTTATAATAAGTGATTAGTGATTAGAGATACCGAGAACACCAATAACATTAAAGGGTTCCGTAATCTTCATTTACTTCCGCAACTTTTATCTGTCAATTTTGATCTGTTATTTGATTTATTTTTTATGGTTATTGTTTAACGAGGTATATTTTTATATAAAAATAGAAAATTAAAATAAAAACAGCTACTTGAATGATTTCAGATTGGGTATTACTGACTATTAATGATTTTTCCCAGTAAAAATCATCAACCTGTACTTATAAATCAATGTTTACCTATTATTGGCTGCTGTTTACAGGTTTCAGAACGTTATTAAAATATAATGATGTATTACATTAGTTAAACCTTTTATCACAATGAAGAATACTTGTCAATTGAACACTCTTTTGAATTTTAAATATCTAACATAAAAAAACATTTATAACCTCAAAATATTTTTAGACATGTGGTAAATTGGACCATCGAAAATCAGTGAACTATTGAATTTAATTATTTAAGTTACAGAACCACTAAGTGAAAACAGAAAGAGGCTAAGAGACCAAACTATGACCGATGGTGATAGAAAAAGGCAGAAAGAGGAAATTATTAGAACAAAAAACTAGTAAATACCTAGCTCAAACTGGAGCCACTATCACTATTGAAAGATCTATTATTATTAATATTTAATAAATAAGTGATCATGATGATATAAATAATACTACACCACAAAAAATTGTAGTCACTGTAGATAAACTAAAAGTACTTGAAAGCCACTAATAACTTATTTCGTAAAGAATTATAATCAACAAGTAGAATAAATAACTTCCCCTCTTTTATTAAATAGTCATAAAATCCTTATTTTGGTTTTATCTAGGTTTAATAAATTTATTAACTACATGCTAATAAAATAAAAAATCAATTAATAAATCTATTAAATCGATATCAATGGTCAACAATATAGAATCATAGCACACATATTTTGTTGAAAATTATCCATTTTTATCCTTGTTTACGGAAAATGTAGGTTATAGGATATTAAAATCAAGAGTTTCGAGAAAATATTTGAAAAAAATTATAAAAAACTGCATTATGAAAGATACCTAATACATTAAGTCGTTTTCTTTCTAGCAAATGCTACCAGATGATAGACATAACTTTCATTCATTTATGCTTATTCTATACCCTCTTGGTTTATTTATTTATTATTTATTTATTGTTGTAATGGAAGGTCTGGAACCTTGATTAATAGATAACAACTTTGTGAAAATAATTTTGAAAGACTGCCATTTATTTTTATTTTTAACAGAATTTTAAGCTCATTTATGTACTCTATTTGATATTTTAATTTAAAGTTAAATTTTATGAGTACATTCTTTTTAATATTTTAAAACAGAACACCTGTTAAGTATTAACCATATTGTGTAATCGTATATCAATAAACTAATTTCATTGGAGGTATTGAAAGATTATGTTTCCTTATCTAGATATATATAAAAAGTTACTTATGTATTTTATAATTTCAATAACAATTATGCCGCCTCTGTGGATAGTGGTTGGGTGCCTGCAAGTTTTACTGAAATGGTAAGGATAATAGTAATATATTACTTTTTTCATTTTGTTTCATATTTGCATTGTACAAATAATAATATTAAATATTTGTTCAATCACGTTTTCAGCTTTAATTTACTTCTTAAAAAAATCCTCAATAATAAAAAATTTATTGATGCCAGAACATAAGATAAATGTTTACACAAGTCACAAAAGAAATATGACACCAAAAATATAAGTAATTAAAAATGGGTTAAAACTAAAGCACAGATATGTGAATAAATCATTAGAAAAAAATACTACAAATAAATACTATAGATACAAAAAGAGGCACTATTACAAAATACATAAAGAAATATAATACACATCACACACATTACATGGTATTCCTAGGGACTAACAAGAGCAACAAAATCATCATTAAAATAACCATCAAATGAGTAAAAAGCCTTCATTTTAAGAAGGTATATGGTAACCCAGCCATAATGCGAATACATTTGCGCTGTAATTTAAAAATTTTATCTGCTTGACAAGAATGACCCCAGTCCAAAATAGCATAATAGGCTGACAGCAATGTTTTTATCGAAACAGAATTAACAAGGCTTCTAATCAGGAACAAATTTTTAGACAGTTTTTTAGATAACTCATCAACATGTTGCCTCCAAGACATTTGGCAATCAATGTTCACTCCGAGAAACACTTGCGAGGCGCAATTGGTGAACTCATTATGCACATAACGCAAAGTAAACAAAATAGATTGAGTTTTGTTTTGATTGAGATACATTTTATTTACCAAATACCTCTGCTTAATGTTATCCTATATTGTTTGAATATTATTACGAAGGACACAGGCCTGACCTGCACTATTTAGGATCGTAGTATCATCCGCAAAGAGGATAAACTTGCAAATGCTATCACTATTTGGTAGATCGTTTATATAAATGAGAAACAGTACAGGCTCAAGGACAGATTCCTTGTGGGACTCCGTGATTCATGGTTAAGCATGAAGATTTACTTCCATTAAAAGAGACAAATTGAGATCTGTTACTCAGGTATGATTTAATAAGGGAGATACTATTTGGATCAAAGTTATAGCGCGAAAGTTTTTGAATTAAAATGTTGTGGCTCTCACAGTCAAAAGCCTTAGTAAGGTCATATAAAGTACCATTAGTAATGTCTCTATTCTCAAAGCCACTCAGAACTGAGTGCATTAAGTTGTTTATTGCTAGTGAGGTGGACCTTTTATTACAAAAGCCAAATTGACAGGAGTGAAATAAGTTGTTTGATTCAAAATAGTCGTTAATTTGATACTTTAGGATCTTTTCCAAAATCTTGGATATAATTGGAGTTAAGGAGATGGGTCTATAGTTAGACGGGTCATAATGTACTCTCACAAGTAAATCCAAAGAAAAATATGTCCCTATTCCAAATATTAGTATGTCCGTTAACATTATTAGTTAATAAAAGTTTAGCGTCCTGCTACTATGTTATTTAATTAGATTTTTTTTACATATTATATTTATTTGACATTTAATATGTATTGACGTTAATAGATGTTACTTGTAATTTCTATTAAGAAATAGTTTACTTCTGGTAATTTTTTAAATTTGCCCTAGGGTGTTTCGTCTCATGTAATACAAGTATTTTAAAATAAGATGATTATTACAATATTACAGACTAGTAATACATAAAAAAATTTAACGCAGACTAACTAAAAAATAAGTGATTATATACTAGGTCTGTTCAGAAAATAACTAAACTTTTTACAAAAAGTCAAAATTTAGAAATACGAATCGACGATATGGAGGCAGGGACTAACGGTGAGACGTATTGAAAATTTATTGTTTATGTAATAGTTACTGTAGTTATAAAATTTTATAATTATGTATAAATGTATTTTTTTATATAATATTATAATATGCATTTCTTGTAACAAAATTAAATTTATTTATTTTTCATTTAAATGTGAGGTTTGTATTGGTAATCTTAGATAATAATATACGATATTACCATTAATTAAAAAGTATACAGTTGCTGAATCAATAGTTTACAAATCGATATTTTCATTGCCGGCTGCTCGCAAGCTCGCTGGCTCATGGCTCGGCGTATGTTGAAACGATAAATTTCACGAGTTTTCAGTTGCGTATCTTATGAGGGAAAAAAGTCGCCGGGATGAAAAATAGATAATATGGAAATATAACTTTCGGTGAGTAACCTCGAACAAGAAAAATTAAAAAAGCTCTAACACAATCCGAGAGAACATAAATTGAAAAGGGCGACTTTTGGTTATTTTTCGACATTAAATCGCTCGTAGCTCGAAAACAAAGCTTTTTTCGAAAAAAGAGTTAAAAAGTGCTTATTTTTGCCCAAAATACAACACCAAAGTTTTCATATCGATTATTTAAGTTTTCGCAATTTTGCAAGTTCTTTGTTAATAACAAATTACTGACCATCGATACAGAAAAATATCATTAATGTTTTTTGTTCACAACAACGTAATATAGCGATTAGAAAAGGTTTCATCCTGGCCCTCCTCCATGATCGGTCCACTGTTTTTTTTGTACGTCTTTTGAAAGGGCAACCCCCCCCCAATAAGGAAAACGTTCAAACTTTGAAAAAAACCTAAGCAGATTATGCTTTATTCCTGTAGTAACTGCTTTCCTACAGTGATATATCAAAATTTATATTCGAGAATTAAACAAAGAGGTAATGCCTATTAATTTTAAAATTGGACGGACAAAAAATGTATTAACAAACAGAGATCCCGCACTGTTTGATGCAAGTAAGTAATTAAAATATTTGTATTTATTTTGCTAGATTGTAGGGCACTTTGTTATTTTGTACTGCTGACTGATTTGACTGGTTGCGATATAAAATAATATGTAATACATATAAGATTTTAAGTTATTTTCGAAGAGTTATTGTAATATATCATTAGAAATTAGACATGACTGATAAAAAAAAGTAAAAAAGTATTTTTCACGAAAATGAATCTTTCTTTAAACGATCTAAAGTGAAGAATATGAGGTAACTTCGTGAGACCTTGAATTTGAACCAACCAATAGTAAAGTGGCATTATTGTTTACAAACAAAACTTCCCTCTGAGATTATTTGATTGTTTTCACATTCTTAAATTATATTATTCCTTTATCACAGTACCTATATCGATTTATATTGTATTTTATATCTATGGAATCATATTTTTATTACTTTACTTTCATTCCAGTAATCTATAATTCACTTTTATAGCAATTATCTCTCGTTCTGTATAAAAAACAATAAATGAACAAAATGCAAACATGCGAAAAATTTCTCTTAAAGAAAATATGCAGTCTATAAAACTACAAATATTTTACAAAATTTTGCTGTTCATTATTGTAGCAGTAAAATCACTTCAAATTTGTTGAAATCTCACTTTTATATCTTGCATAAACTGGTAAACTATGTACATTGATAAATCAAAAAAACTTTCTAATGTAATAAAATTGATATAATTATAGGTTAACGCTCCTAATTAAAACCTTATATTCGTGATCGACGACTTAGAAAACCACCGAGTAACAAGTTTCATTCATAATCTTCAAATTCTGGTTGCTTTTCCGATTTTTACATTCCTATATTGGATTCGCATCTTTTGTTCACGAATTTTCGGATTCGGACTTCAAATTCGCAATCAGTGACCTCAAAAACCCGCGGTGACAAAAATCAGAAAAAATATTGAATAGAGAAATATGCGAGTTAAAAGAGTAAGTAACCCTTTGAGGGATAAGTTATATTATGTTTTTGGCTATGGTTTTTCACATTGTTCTGCACTAACATTCGTTATTTGATCTTAATTAATTGATCTGAATTAACCCCCTCGTAGGGATGGATGTGGATTTAATTTGCACATATTTCTTACCAATGTTCAAAATATCATTTTAAAACTAGCAACCCGCCCCGGTTTCGCACGGGTAAATATAAAATAGCCTATGTTACTCCCAGGAGATGTAGCTTTCGGTAAAATTGGTTGAGTAGTTTTTGAGTTAAATCGTAACAAACAAAAAATCAATCATCTTTCATCTAATGTGACCCTAATATTAATTTTAAAATAATTCACGATATATCTATCTACCTCGTTTCGTTGCGCATTATTTTGATTTTGCTATATCTCCTAAGGTATTCATTTAATTTGCATGGTGTAAAGGGAAAAAATAATCTTCATAAAATGGTCAAGCCAACTAACTTATTTAAAATGATAAGGATTAATACCGTATTTGTGTAAATAGGTTTCCAATTACCGCTTTATAATTGCCCATTGTATTAAAATGGATATAGTATGTTATCCTTAAGAGATAGACATATGCCATCGCGGACTTTTCTGTAGACCTATATAAGATACACAATTCCACTAAACATTATTTTGTTATATCTCAAAGGGTTTAAGCAGCGTTTTCGTTGAAAGCTCCCAGACGGCTCATTTTTTCCGACACCTCCAACAAATATTACAAATTAACAAATTATATACTAAAACCTTCCTCGAGAACCACTCTATCCATTGGTGAATACAGCTTGAGAATCGGTGCAGTAGTTTTTCAGTTTATCGCGAACAGACAGATAGACAGACGCGGCGGAGGACTTGTTTTATAATATGTAGTCATGTAGTGATGTAGTGATATAGATGTTTTCTCAAAATATTTACAAATTGTAGCATTTCATTATAAAGCTTTACCCTAGTTTAGGGAATATTTCAGAGATTTGCTAAAAAAATGCCTTGGTAAATCGGTTTTTGAGCAGCGAATTCGGATTCAGCATCAAAAAATGCACAAGACCTATGTACTCACGTCTCTAGTACTGAAATATGTTTCTTATGGGGCTGTGTTATCAAATATAGTAGATAATTATGCGCATCTGTCTACAAACACTTTACAGGATATAGGATGCTTAAGTGTTAGAGAAACATTTTTTAGAATTAAAAATTAATTTCGCTAAGCGATTTCATTAAAGAATGACAAGCAGCTTTAGTTTTTGATTTTCCACAAACATATTTGTAGCAATTTCTGCTCCTAGTTTCTTTTTCCAAGCTATTTAATTTTTTCTACTTTTCTGAGAATTAGAGACTATACAGGGTGATCTATTAACGGTACGCTGTACATGGGAAACTAGAAGTGCTACGATTATAGGGTAAAAATCTATTATGACGTATTTTTGATGGGTGATTTTAACACTAACTCTATGTCAAGAAGTGAACTGGACTGTATTGCACAATTGCTTGATTCGTGTGGTCTTAGTTCCAGAGTATTTGAGCCAACTAGAATAAGTCGTACAAGTCGGGCCATTCTTGACCACGTATACATTAACAATGTGTACTGTAATTCATCTGTACACGACAACACAATTTCTGATCATCGTACGGTTCTTTTTTCAATTAAACATAACACCATTGTAAATAGTGACATTTATTTTGATACTAGATTATGCGGTAGTGTAAATATGAACAGTTTTGCTACTGCCTTGTCAAATGAATCGTGGATTGATACCTACCAGGCTCGTGGCACCGAGGCGAAATTTAACAACTTTCATAGAGTTCTTATGTATCATTTTAATGCAAATTGTCCACGAGTTTCCAAATGTGTACCTAAAGGAACCGGAAAACAGTGGGTTAACGAAGCTATTAAAGAATCTAGTCTCAANATTAATACCGTATTTGTGTAAATAGCTTTTACATTACCGCTTTATAATTGCAAATTTTTTAAAGTATTAAAATGGATATAGGTAGTATGTTATCTTTAACATATAGACATATGCCAACGCGGACTTTTCTGTAGGCATATATAAGATACACAATTCCACCATACATTGATACACTACATAATCTTTCGGAACCCCCCGGCTCGGACGCGAGGCGCGGGGTCACGGGGCGCCCGCGCGGCCCGGTCGAATCACGGCGACACGAAATTAATTTCGTTGGGCATTAATTTGATTTTGCTATATCTCTTCAGGTATTCATTTAATTTGCATGGTGTAAAGAGAAAAAATAATCTTCATGAAATGCTTAAGCCAACTAACGTATTTAAAATAATAAGGATTAATACCGTATTTGTGTAAATAGCTTTCCAATTATCGCTTTATAATTGCCCATTTTTTAAAGTATTAAAATGAATATAGTATGTTATCCTTAAGAGATAGACATATGCCATCGCGGACTTTTCTGTAGACCTATATAAGATACACAATTCCACCAAACATTATTTTGTTATATCTCAAAGGGTTTAAGCAGCGTTTTCGTTGAAAGCTCCCAGACGGCTCATTTTTTCCGACACCTCCAACAAATATTACAAATTAACAAATTATATACTAAAACCTTCCTCGAGAACCACTCTATCCATTGGTGAATACAGCTTGAGAATCGGTGCAGTAGTTTTTCAGTTTATCGCGAACAGACAGATAGACAGACGCGGCGGAGGACTTGTTTTATAATATGTAGTCATGTAGTGATGTAGTGATATAGATGTTTTCTCAAAATATTTACAAATTGTAGCATTTCATTATAAAGCTTTACCCTAGTTTAGGGAATATTTCAGAGATTTGCTAAAAAAATGCCTTGGTAAATCGGTTTTTGAGCAGCGAATTCGGATTCAGCATCAAAAAATGCACAAGACCTATGTACTCACGTCTCTAGTACTGAAATCTGTTTTTTATGGGGCTGTATTATCAAATATAGTAGATAATTATGCACATGTGTCTACAAACACTTTACAGGATATAGGATGCTTAAGTCTTAGAGAAACATTTTTTAGAATTAAAGCGATTTCATTAAATAATGTCAAGCAGCTTTAGTTTTTGATTTACCACAAACATATGTGTAGCAATTTCTGCTCCTAATTTCTTTTTCCAAGCTATTTCATTTTTTCTACCTTTCTGAGAATTAGAGACTATACACGGTGATCTATTAACGGTACGCTGTACATGGGAAACTAGAAGTGCTACGATTATAGTGTAAAAATCTATTAACAAATACGACCAAAAGAAATTGATTTAAAATATTTTCAAGTTTGTAACGTCACCGCTAGGGGGCGCACCTGCAATAGTATTACAGAAAATTTATGTCCTATGAAAATAGACAAATGAAAAATTATGTCAAACGATATGTGACAGCTCTCGCTTCGTACAAAATTAGTGTCATTTGTGTTGGAAGAGTACTTGTGAACAAGGAAAATGTCTTACGGATGTGGAAGCGTATGATATGTTTATATTTTTTATTTTATTTTCAATATTTGGAAAATGCCTCATAGCTTCAAGAGAATATGCTTTGCGATACTCTCGCAGAATACGCAACTCCAGAGAAGTATTTCAGCATTTAGCCAGATGCCGCTACATTCTGTATGAAAATATCGCCGTGCAAGAGCGGAAGATAATATTATTGACTGTGTTAGCTTGTGTCCATGTAAATCCCCAAATAAGTCTAAGGGAATTAGTTAGAGACCCTGGAGATATGGAACACAAGTACTTGTCTCACTAATTTTGCGCGAAGCAAGAGCTGTCACATATCGTTTGACATAATTTTTCATTCGTCTATTTTCATAGTGCATAGCCTGCCTCGTTATGGAAACAATAATCTTTATAAATACTCAGATATATGAAATTAAAGAAAATCAAAAATTGTACTTACATATTAAATAAATTCAAAAATAAAGCAAATACTTTTTTAGGACACGCTTGGTATAGTTTTACAATTTAATTTTGGGCTATGTCAATGTCATTTAGAGAACTACCTACATAAAGGAGGATGTTCTAGCACAACTTCACTATTTTACCAATAACATGAAAGCGAAAAAAGATATCGACCTCCGGTTTGTGTATTTGATTTCCTTAATAAATGACCTATCAAATCATGGAAAACGACTATATCGTTGCATTTAATTTTTTTAGTAAACGGAGACATTTACAAAACTTTTCTAATTAGCGTCTCTATCTTGCACAGGAAAATAATATTTTTATTCCCAAATCGTAAATATAAAATTTATTAAAAGTTCTTTAACAATACCCCTCGTTTATAGAAATCGATTGAGGCATTTAGAAGTTAGGACAATTTAAAAATTTCGATATGGCGTCCTTCATACTGGCGTTGCTATGTAATAATAAAAAAAAAGTTCAAACAAAACTTATGAAGGGTTTAACAGTGTTACTAAAACGTGTATTTTCAACTTAAGTTATATAAGCGAAATTTCGAAAAAACGACAATTTTCTGTAACACTATAGAAGTTGCGCCCCCTAGCGGTGAAGTTACAAACTTGAAAATATTTTAAATCAATTTCTTTTGGCCTTATTTGTTACTACATTTTTTACCCCATCATCGTAGCACCATTAGTTTCCCACATAGAGCCGCTCCGTACCCTTAATGGATCACCCTATATAAATGGCTACTATGTGTAACTACAGTGTACCTTTCTTTTCTTAAATAAATGCTAAAACGTTAATTATTGCTGAAAGTGTCAAAACGTCAACGTATTATTAAAATATTTAATTAATCGTGTTAAATGTGAATGAAACAGAACGAATGGAATTTACATGACGAAATTCGAATTTCGTCAAATATTTTGGTTACATATTATGTAAATCTTTTAATAAATACGAAATATATACGGTTTAGTTTTAAAACAGCGATTATTTTGTGAATAATCTTGCTTGCAGGACCACATGTCAAGAGATTAGCACACTGACTTTTCCAGACTCCTTCCTTTTTGGAGCGGCTACTTCTGCGTATCAGATCGAAGGGGCGTGGAATGAGGATGGGAAAGGTGAAAGTAGATGGGACTATATAGTCCATAACACGAATTTTATACTAGATGGAAGCACTGGTGACGTCGCCTGCGACTCCTACCACAAATACCAAGACGACATTGCAGCTCTGAAAGAACTAGGAGTGAACTACTATAGGTTTTCCATATCTTGGCCTAGATTGTTACCGAATGGTTTCGCTAATGAAGTGAATCCAGCTGGAATTGAGTATTATAACAACCTTATTGATGGTTTGCTAGCAGAAGGAATAGAACCGTGGGTAAGGAATTTAAAAATAAATAAATTAACTAAAACATTAATAGACGCCCGCCTTTATATCTAGTTTCTTTTCTTACACTGTCTTTCTTTCGCTGTTTCATTCTAATGGAAATATATTATTTCATCAAACATATTCAAATAAAAAATGATATTTCACACTTGATAACACTCAGTGCGAATATGAAGAGATTGTAAGACAAGTATTTTGCTAAAAACGTTTGTTAAAATTAAAATAACTTTAACCAGTAGTAAAGAAGACATTTGATGTTTATTTTTTTTGTAGGTGTAAACACGTTTAACTAACATAAGTGTTAAATCAAAATTAAAAAAGACATCCTTTACATGTGTACTTTAGATTTTATTGGTGTAAAATTTTCTCACATTTCCATTTTATAATGATACAATGCAAACATTTCTGGGTATACACGTTCTTAACTGTAATTATTAAAATTATATACAGTGTGTTTCACTTAAAGCCGGTACATCTCCGTATTTAGGATGGCGATGGCCGATTTTCAAAATTCTTTTTTTTATGTGATAGTACTCAAAAAGGCCTACTTTTTGATATTATATTTTTTGACGTGATGTTTTCCACGGCCTACTATTATTAAGAAAAGTCCCTCAAAAATCAAAAAACATATTAGGCATTTTTTTAAGAAAAAAATGGATAGCATTTTCGATTTGATCAAACCTCAAAACCCTAAATACAAATTTCATTATTGCATCTTATACAGGGTGTTCACAAAATAGGTGCAAACTTCGAAAAATTTCACTCATTGCAGTGTCCTGTATTAACAGCGGAAAATATTTTGAATGTATTGTTTCATAATTTTATTTACCGAAGGTATATCCATGCAGTTTCATCGATTTCACTCATACAGGATGCTCACAATAAGACAGCCAAATTTTACATTATTTTTAATATACGAGGAATGAGTCGAAATCAAATTTAAATATTACTATTTTCTATTAACCCACCTTCAAACTCTCCTCAACTGTTGTGGTATTATTTGTCGACATGCTTGTCTAATTCTATTACATAAATCTTCTCTGTTCTTTTGGAAATAAGAGGAGACGAATTGAACAGTGCAAATGATGGTGGGCTAATAAAAAATAGTAATACATATTTAAATTTTATTTCGTTGTGAAACTCATTCCTGGTATATTAAAAATAATGTGCAATTTGGCTGTCTTATTGTGAGCACCCTGTATGAGTGAAATCGATGAAACTGCATGGATATACCTTCGGTAAATAAAATTATGAAAAAATACCTATTATATAAAATATTTTCCGCTCTTAATACAGGACACTGCAATGAGTGAAATTTTTCGAAGTTTGCACCTATTTTGTGAACACCCTGTATAAAATATAATAATGAAACTTTGCATTTAGGGTTTTGAGGTGTAATCAAATCGAAAATTCTATCCATCTCTTTCTTAAAAAAATGCTTAATATGTTTTTTGATTTTTGAGGGTCTTTCCTGTAGTTTCCTGCAATATTATCAGTTATTATTTAATTGATTTTGTATCACTGTAAAGGGATTTGTCGTTAACTGTGTTTGAATGTACTAGTATTATTTCCTCTCCATTGACACATTTAACATTTGATGACTTATTCAAGGAGTCAGTATTCCTTGGTGTTGTAGTGTGATATACGTATATACAAACGAATTTGAAACATTACCATGGAAAACTTTAGAGCAGACCACACATCTTAATTGTACCTATTTAGAACAACAACATTGTATTACAACATAAATGCACTGGAAATGAAAATATTGTACTAGAAATGGTTCTCAACATTGAGATCATAGGTACAAGAATTTTCTCTATTAAAGAACGAAATTAGAAAATACTGAATCTGATAAGCTAAAGTCAACAATAAAGTTGATTATGAAGATGACAATGATTTGTGAGCTGTGCGATAATCAATCATTGAAAAGACCAAGAAAGTAATGGATAGTTAAAAAAAATTAAAATACGGAGTATACATCTACCCTTTATGAACAGATATAATATATGAATAACAATAACAAATGACGCATTATGGACACAAAGAAAATGAACTTATAACTTCTACCAATTACTTTCCCTTAGCGCATTTCTTGTGAAACTAATATTTTTCAATAGTTCATTCTTCAAATTTAATTGAATATTTTACTTTTTCAGGTGACCATGTACCACTGGGATATACCCAATCTCATATATTATTTGGGAAGTTGGAACAACGCCGAGATAGTAGATTACATAACCGAATTAGCAGACCTGGCGTTTCAACATTTTGGCGATAGAGTTAAAACTTGGATCACAATTAATGAACCGCTGACCTTTTGCGCCCATTTTCCTAATGCAACAGTGACCTTGTATGGTCAGACCGTACCAGTTGGAATCACAGAATATTTGTGTGGTCATAACGTTCTAAGAGCTCACACGAAAATATATAGGCTGTACCAACTCAAGTACAAAAACAGTCAAGGAGGTAGGATTACATTCTTGATTTTAATCCAATAGAAAAATAATCATACAAAAATAGTCGTTTCCAAAACAATTCTCATTGGGTTAGCTACAAATATGTAATCTTTAAACGTTATAGTATTACTGGATTAACCGGATTATACGGTATGCGGATTATACAGGGTAGCCCATCGAAAACGTACCGCAAGGCATTACAGGGTAGTAAAGAATTTTTCGGCAAAATCCAAAAACAGATCAAATTTGTTTCTGAGGGCGAGAACTTTTGGCTCAAAAAGCATACCAAAATCTTCAACCCCCTAAGTGGGGGTGATATCCCCTAAATTTGTTCAAATGGGAATGGGGGTCAAGTGGGGGGTCATTAGAAAGGGCTTTTAATTCTCTATACATCGATTCTTACTTTTTGAAAATCGATTCATTATTTTAGAAAATATGCAGCTTTGAAAATACGAACAATCTTTTTGATGAGAAATGCGAAAATCGATTTAATTTTACTTCAAAACTTCCGGTATTAGTCAAGTAAATGCTGAAAATGTTGTCCGCCAACTTGCATACAATGATACAGGTTGTCTTCAAACCGTTGTCGAACATTCTGGAGCACTTGCGGTGTTACTTCGCGACATACATTAATGATTCGTCCTCGCAGATCTTCCAAGGTATCAGGTGGAGTGCTGTAAACTTTGCTTTTAATGTGCCCCCAGAGAAAGAAATCTAAAGGATTTAAGTCGGGTGACCGAGGGGGCCACTCAATTGCACTTCTTCGTCCTATCCAGCATCCTGAAAACGTCTCATTTAGGTAATTGCGCACAATGAGCGAGTAATGTGGAGGAGCTCCGTCTTGCTGGAAAATCAATTCGTGTTCATTGTAACGGCACGCTTTAGTCGCAGCGCACGCATAATTCCACACCATTCGCCGCGAGTTACTTTTGTTGAATGGGTGTTCGCCACACAAACAGTACTTAACAAAGTAACCTAGCAAAAAACTCAAGCTGTAATCAATAATGATAAATGAAACACACAAAAATAAATAATCTGTTGATGGCTTCCAGCGACGAGAAACATTCAAATTCAGTTGGATGTACTGTCACCAAATGCGAAACAACTGACGCCCTTCGCTTTGTCACCGTTGACCCACACTATCTCCCTTCACATGCATTGTAGGTTGCCTACAATTCATGTATTTATAATACATACAGTGGCGACGTACACAAGTATTAAAGTGCATTTTAAAAAACTGATTATAATTCACTATTTAATTAAAAAAAAAGAATTTCAGGTTGGTATTCAGGAAAACACGTAAAAAACTGCCCCCCCCCCACTTAAAGTTACACCCTGTGTAATAGAAAATAACACTAAAACATAAAATAGAAAACCATTAACTCAGACCTACCCGCAGTCGTTTATAATAACTATTTTATAATATTATTAAAAACATTATTAACAGTTTATAAAGAAATATTACGAATTTCATTTGTTCAAAATAATAAAACGTAGGTATTTTTCTACATATAACTCAGATACAATTGGAATCATATATTAGTGTTTAAAAGAAAAAGAACAAATTAATTGCCAATTATTTTAATTTAAATTGTATTACAAAATAAGAGAAGAATGTAAATACTTCTACAGGATGTCCGGAAATACCGTTCGAATAATTCTAGGGGTGATTCTACATGTTAAACTATGAAGAAAAGTTCATATGAACATAGGTCCGCAAATGCGTCATAAGATCAAATCGAAAATTCTATCCATCTCTTTCTTAAAAAAATGCTTAATATGTTTTTTGATTTTTGAGGGTCTTTCCTGTAGTTTCCTGCAATATTATCAGTTATTATTTAATTGATTTTGTATCACTGTAAAGGGATTTGTCGTTAACTGTGTTTGAATGTACTAGTATTATTTCCTCTCCATTGACACATTTAACATTTGATGACTTATTCAAGGAGTCAGTATTCCTTGGTGTTGTAGTGTGATATACGTATATACAAACGAATTTGAAACATTACCATGGAAAACTTTAGAGCAGACCACACATCTTAATTGTACCTATTTAGAACAACAACATTGTATTACAACATAAATGCACTGGAAATGAAAATATTGTACTAGAAATGGTTCTCAACATTGAGATCATAGGTACAAGAATTTTCTCTATTAAAGAACGAAATTAGAAAATACTGAATCTGATAAGCTAAAGTCAACAATAAAGTTGATTATGAAGATGACAATGATTTGTGAGCTGTGCGATAATCAATCATTGAAAAGACCAAGAAAGTAATGGATAGTTAAAACAAATTAAAATACGGAGTATACATCTACCCTTTATGAACAGATATAATATATGAATAACAATAACAAATGACGCATTATGGACACAAAGAAAATGAACTTATAACTTCTACCAATTACTTTCCCTTAGCGCATTTCTTGTGAAACTAATATTTTTCAATAGTTCATTCTTCAAATTTAATTGAATACTTTACTTTTTCAGGTGACCATGTACCACTGGGATATACCCAATCTCATATATTATTTGGGAAGTTGGAACAACGCCGAGATAGTAGATTACATAACCGAATTAGCAGACCTGGCGTTTCAACATTTTGGCGATAGAGTCAAAACTTGGATCACAATTAATGAACCGCTGACCTTTTGCGCCCATTTTCCTAATGCAACAGTGACCTTGTATGGTCAGACCGTACCAGTTGGAATCACAGAATATTTGTGTGGTCATAACGTTCTAAGAGCTCACACGAAAATATATAGGCTGTACCAACTCAAGTACAAAAACAGTCAAGGAGGTAGGATTACATTCTTTATTTTAATCCAATAGAAAAATAATCATACAAAAATAGTCGTTTCCAAAACAATTCTCATTGGGTTAGCTACAAATATGTAATCTTTAAACGTTATAGTATTACTGGATTAACCGGATTATACGGTATGCGGATTATACAGGGTAGCCCATCGAAAACGTACCGCAAGGCATTACAGGGTAGTAAAGAATTTTTCGGCAAAATCCAAAAATAGGTCAAATTTGTTTCTGAGGGGGAGAACTTTTGGCTCAAAAAGCATTCCAAAATCTTCAACCCCCTAAGTGGGGGTGCTATCCCCTAAATTTTTTCAAATGGGAATGGGGGTCAAGTGGGGGGTCATTAGAAAGGGCTTTTAATTCTCTATACATCGATTCTTACTTTTTGAAAATCGATTCATTATTTTAGAAAATATGCAGCTTTGAAAATACGAACAATATTTTTGACGAGAAATGCGAAAATCGATTTAATTTTACTTCAAAACTTACGGTATTAGTCAAGTAAATGCTGAAAATGTTGTCCGCCAACTTGC